TGTGCAACACACTCCTGGCCAGAGATGATTCAGAGATTGTTCCTACAGGACTTTGAATTTTGTCAGCACGAATTCGTTGCTTACTGAATTCAGCACATCCAAATTTACTGCTCTGTGACAGTATTTTATAAGCATTTTATCCTATTTTTTAAAGCTCATCGCAGCCACAACAAAGGCTGTTGCCCAACCTGCTAAAAACAGGCTGATCATTTCCCCAACTATTTAGTAAATGTTAACTATGCTATAAATACAAATGGTGTTTATACTCTGAAAGATTCACTGCTGTCAGAGTTCTCCAGCAGAGTTAGAGCTGAAATATGCTCTTAACTCCCACCAGGAACACAGCTAAAACAGAGGCCAAAAATGCTTTCTCTGGGATAAGATATCAGATCTGCTACTGCTGTCATGAAACCGGGGTCACGTAAACTAAACATCCTTGTAACTTCTTTTGGAAAGCACAGAAGTCTCTCAAACTGTAAATATTTAAAAATAAAATCAGAACTCATGAGAGATAGGCCTAAGATGCAGAAAACTTACCCAAAGATATTAATCTCAGGCAACGTTTAAAAGCAATTATCCAGAAAATAATTTATCCCGTGTTTCTGAAAACTGAAAAGAATTATTTCCTGTCTTTATATAATCAGAAGTGGCACATTCAAATAACATACCAAATGCTGTGTCCAAGCTGAATCTTCACAATTTTTGAAACTCCCCCATTCAGATGGAACTAAAATATTAACAGTAGGAAGAAAGGTACCAGAGGATGGAGAAAGCTGTGAGTTAATCAGACTCCCCTCAACAAGAACAAAAGGCACCTTCTCTTCAGAGGAAGAGGTGTAAAACAACTGCATCATCTAAGGCTAAAAGCAAATCACTTAATGAAACTATATTTCATATATATCATATGGGCTATTAATTGGATGGGACTTATTCTCATCCTTTTTTAACTGTTATTGCTAACTTTAAACCCATCGGTCTTCCTTAATTACTGCCTAAAAGATGGTATCAGATGATATGTTAGAAATTAGTTGAAAAATCTGGCCAGGTGCTTTTTGTTTCTTTAGGTGCATGGTACAACATTTAGTGTGCTCCTTGAGGTTCAGGGGTTCCTGCAGTCTATCAGTGATCTATTCTCCAAGTAATATTTTGCCTTCCTGCTATTAACTTTATCTCTTTTCATTCCAGTTTTCCAGTGTTCATGCTAGCTACACTGAAGAAATGGGTTTTTAATTCAGAACACTGACTGCAGCCCAGATTCATCATCATCCTTTGTGACACTATGCCAGGGACAACAGGAATTTCTATTCTTTTGACCAAGACATTAATAAATACTTATAAAATAGTTCAAGATACAAATTGTGCTATGGATTGTGCTTCACCTCTTCACCAGTTGCTCTCCTGAATGGCTTAGATCTCATTCTCTCTTCCACCCCCCATTCTTGGACAGCCATTGCAAAAAGAGCAGAATTTGTGATAAGAAGGTGCTGTGAATCCTCTCCAGAACTGTGGGATGACGTTTATCTGTGCTACTGTGACTCCTCCCCTCTTCCACACAGGCAACCAAAAAAAGCCCTTCCACGGCAGGTCTTGTGATCTGGAGTCCCACCAATCTGAACGTGGTGTTCAGGAATGACTCAACAGAAGGCAGTCTCATAGCACACCAAATTTTTCACTGGAAAAAGAGGTTACATTTACTGCTTGTCAGCTGAATAGCAATTGTCCTCTGCAGCTGTAACCTCCTTCAGCAAGACATGCAAGGACAAGGATCGGAGGGAACGACAATGCTGCTGGAGTGGCTCAAGGGAAAAGGAGGAGGAGGAAGGAATGGCCTTTGCAGGGAGGAGGAGTGCACAGGTACACCAGCAGATACACTGGATCTCCTCCCTTGCTTCTCCTGGTTGCAGCTCCCTTCCCCCACTGGCTGTGACTCCAACCCTTCTCTCTTGATCTACTTCCCTCCCCCTGAGATCTGCCTTTGAATTATGCAAGCTCTGCACTCCCCAGGGTTTATCTGCCAAAAGGTAGCATGTGGCCCATGGTTTGCATTTTAGTTTAAAATTTTCTATTATAGCAGTCAGGTCCTTTCAGAATACTTTACTTCCTTTATTCCCATAGGCAGAAAGAATGGCAGGAAAAAATTGTTCACAGCAGTATGAGAGGATGTGAAAGTTCTACATTTTCAGTTAAAAAAAAAAAAAGAAAGGTGGAATATGGTTTTAATCAAGTAGTTTTCCTTCCTAGACGAGTGCTTCCTTCTTGTAATATATATAACCTGACTGCCTATAAAAATAAAGGTGCCAGTTGGAGCCATTCAGGAGACCTAAGGAAATTCTGCATTAACCTAAACTCCTCCACCCCTCTGTTCCTTCCACTATTATTCTGTGTGTGGCCTCTCCTGATGAGTTAGGTCACCAATATCCATACATATATCTGTGACAATACCTCAGAAACATCTGCATCAGAGGCTTCTCATTACTCCTGTGGCTCAGCCTTAGCACAGACCATCTATGTGGAGAAATTACCATGGTTTAAGCACATGCTATTAATACCATATGATATCTAAAAGCCTCAGTAACTTGTAGATCTCAGAGCATAGAGAAGCTTCTCCTTGTTTTAGGTTTGAAAATAAAAATAGATTTTCTGCTACAGCTGTCAAGATTTAAAGATCCAAACCTTGAACCTTATTAAGAGGAAAAAGCCAAAAGCATCCTCTTTGAAACCAAGAAACCCAGAGAAAAATTTCTAGTTTAACAGTTGCCTAATAAACAGATACTAAAGCTGAGGTTCTCGTGCCTGCCTAAAAATACTGTTAATTGTCCAGATCAGAAGCTCATTTGGCCTCTAACCAGGAATTTCATGGAGAAAGAAGTAATATTTTCTGGCAAGCTGACTGAAGGAGAAAAATAAATGCTGATTGAAGCTGCTCAGCAGTACAGAACGTTAGCATAGGTCCTCAGGGAGATGGATTAGTAAGCAGGAAGAAGGTGAGGCTGTCAAAGGTGCATGATAAATTCATTTAGCACATAGATATAGAATGATTATGCACATAGATATACACACAAACAGATTTTTTATTACTTTCCTCTCTACTCATAAGTAAAAACAGAATAACTCACCACTGGTGATGATAGTCATTAAATCTCTGCACTGGTACCAGAGCCCACCACATGTACCATTCCAAATTACACATATACACTTATAGAATACAAAAATATGCTTTGCAAAACACATGTCAATAGCAAGGGGTATCTAACTAAGCAGGAATCTTTTGACTCTTTGAGTGACCTGCTTAAAAATACTAAAAAATATTCCATTGGACCAATTTTCAAGCCAGTCAGAGTGGAAGTGCTGCAAGATACCATCCATTCTGCTGACTGCATTCATCAGTGTGTATTTGTGATGCCATCAGTGGTGTTTCAAAATCTGGCTGCTGCTAAGCTACCCCATTATTATGAACTCAACAACATTGCTCTTCTCCCTCTCCTGTTTTCATCTTTTATATGCCACTCAGCTCAGGCAGCACACGACCACTCCAAAGTAAGAGACATTGTAGCAAAGTACAATAAAACCATGACAAATTCGTAAGCTTTGGTGACAAAATATATGAATATAGAAGTGTGAAGTGAATGTGTCTCTAACTGAGATGATTCATACTTCCAGATAGATTTGCAACTTGCCTGGTCTTAAATTACTGTTTTCAGGCTGCAACACAAGCAGAACAGATCACAGATAAACTGGTGATAGAACTGAAAAGATAGAACTACAGAAAAATCTTGTGTGGCAGACTTCTGTTTTGATTAGCATTACTTCAATTCCTAGTTTCAAAAACGATGGTTCAAGAATGACACATTTAATACCCAAATTAAGGACAAATTACACACAATGCCCCGTCTATTTTTCAGCTCAGATTTAAACCTCACACTTTGAGAGCCTAATAAATGTTCTAACAACATAATAACATTTCCCTGTTAGTGTACAGTGCTCAAACATTATCAGTGAAATGAAAACAGGGCAGGGTGAACATCTAGTACCCTTGGGTCAGTAAATGTTTCAAACCCAGATCAACTGCTTGTCTTATAAGCCAAGTGTTCCAGCATCTTTTCTCACCTCGATGTTATGTATTGATGTGCAACATCTACATTTTAGCCTTCTACATTTTTCCTTCTCAGTCCTTTTTTTCAATAAGCAAAAAATAACAAATATTTCAATTAGGATTAGCCTAAAATTCTACAGCAAATCTCATACCTAATATAGAAACGTCTTCATTCTTGTTGTCATTCAGTTCACACGTATATTCCCTGTTGGTATATATATCTAACTACCTTTTAAATAAAACTATTGGTAGAATTCATATTACTTCATTCTCAGAGAGTCAAAATATTTTATAACAGAGTCTCAGTTACAATTATTCTATATTTAATATCCTTTCAGCTGTACTTGACACCAACGCATTGCCTGGACAGAGGACATCAAGCTGACCAAAAATCTGTTTTAATCAAAATATAGGCCAAGTTATTATTAATTCAATAGCAAGCCAAATAAAGATAATGGAAGCTACAAAACTATCGTGCTTGGCATGTACTACATGAGCAGGACTGCATAAAAAGTGTTGTTAAAACTGTAAAAGTTTGTTCAAAGTGTGAGCTACATCAAGGTGTCTCACTGTCCTCTCTCATTCTGATCCAGTACTGGTGAACAAAACGATTGCCCTCAGCAGCTGAAGCAATCCTGGAACATTTGTTTTCACACTGGCACCCAGTCTGTGCAGAATCCAGGTGCACAAAGTTTCAGAACCACTTGCAGGCTGGTTCTCTGAATTTTGAATGCCGTGACAAGGGGTTGGGGCACCTTGCACCTGCCTGGCCTGGAGCCAAACCACAAGAGAACACAAAGATCTGAACATCTGCCAGCAGCCCTGAACAAGGTGGTGTCTCTGCACTTGGAACACTCCAGTGGTTAACAAAAGGTTTTCTTCTCCCATATTTAAAGCCCAGACTCACCTCTCTCAACACGGGATCCGTTATGGAACTCAGATTCACAGCTCCTTCGTAAGTCAGGTAGTAGAACACATTCAGGGCCCTCACAGCCTCTGGGCCCTGCTGCTTGTAGCCAAAAATCAGATCAATCCACTGGTGAAGCTGGCAGGAAACAAACTCGCTTTCTAACGCCTGTAAAACAAAAGCACACACAAAATACACAGACCTGAGCTTGTCAAATGATCATCCTTTGATAGCAGCAGAAACGTTTGTTGGAATAGCAGATAAAATGATTTTATGAGTCCATGTACAGAGCAGGCAATGGTATTTTAGACCTTCTGTCAAAAAAAGGTGGGCCCTGTGATAGATGGGTGTCAGAGCCTCATCCCCTACTCCCTGCTGACCAGAAGACCTTGGTTTTTAACTGTTATAGTAGGAATAAGAAAAAAGCAGTGAGTGGGAAGCATTTAGGACAGCTGGGCTATGTCCTTACCAGCTCTCAAGATGAAATGGTGCTTTTCTGTGTGATAGGCAGGGTGAATAATAACAGCAGCAGCATCTGATGCTGACAGGCAGGGAGAAGATTGATAGATTTAGGGGGAAAGGGAACTAACTAGGGATGTTTGGGTACAAATTATTTAACATGCTGGTCTATCAACTTGCTATTAAATTTATGCATTTCTTATCTATATATATCTTATACAAAACTGAAACAGCACTAGGCTGAATCATTAAGCTACTTTTCTGAAGATGTTACCCAATTACAACCCAATCCCCAAGACAAAAGCATCCAAACACTAATCAATGTCTTCCTAATGGTACTAGATAGAGCACAAATATATTAAAAGATAACTTAAAAATCATTGTTGTCTAAAGAGTTAATTCATCTCTCTTAAATCACTAGCAGGACTTGCTTTGTTTTATGCAGAGGACTCAATATATATCTTATTTGAATGAGCAAATGGAACAATGTTACAAGATCTGATATTCTCTTCATCTAAGGAAAGGAATGACATTCTCCTTGTAAAGGAAATTCCTCATTTTAAGCAGAGGAAGTTAAAATTAATCTGAAAACCAAGGAAATCACTCTGCAATTTGCACATGAAAATGATGGGTTTGTTTCATTAACCGATGCCTGAAAACAACATTTAAATTGACACATAAAACCAGCAATTGTCTTAATTTGTGTGGTACACTCCACACAAAAGCCTTAAATATGTTCAAATTAGAGCAAGCTGCTTGATTGTCACTGCAGTCTCATGTCATATTAATGCATGACAAACATTAAACCATACACTTAAATGGCAATTTATATCATTTAAATGTTTACTGCCACACCAGACCATCACTCATTTAAATGTGACTTTCTGACAGCTAATTTCAGTTAATTTTCCTCAATTCACTTAATTAGAACTTTCAATCAAGAAAAGACCTGTATGTATCTGCGACATCATATCATTCTTTTTTTTATTATTATTTTTATTAGGATTCCCAGCTACAGAATTGCTGAAAGTAATCTTTAAAATGAATTAGCACCCAGTTTAGTATCTCTCTGGACCACTGTGTGGAAATACCTTACAAAATATACACTTAGACATGATTTTTTTACTTTTGTCTTTTTTTTTCTTTTTAATTTAAAAAAAAACCCAAACAACATTTAGACACAGACACACAATTAAAACAATAAAAAACCACAAGCGGGTCAATTAAAAATTAATGATTTCAAAATTGTTTAATAAGATAAAACCAGTCAGAAGTCTCATGAGTGTCCATAATCCTACAATGTGCAGCAATAAAATTCTACAGGGCAAATGACAATGATAGGAATTAATTTTCTTGCTATCCTGCTAATAATATTTAACCCTAGAATATACTTTACTGCTATCATTATAACTATTTAATGTCAGGAAAAATAGCATTAAGAACCTGTGATTTTATCTATATATATATAAACACACATTTAATATGTGCAGAGGTTGTTCATATTTTCCTTTTCTTCAAAAGCTAGATTTTTAATGGGTCCTATCACCCTCATGAAGCATTTGGACATGAATAACTAAAGGAATATCACTCTGCAATCTCTTCAGATTTACAGATATATAAATATAACTTTTTCCTAAAAAAGCAAATCTAGAACACTCTCATTGCCTTTCCACGGAGTGGTTGGGAGCCACCCTGAACTTACTTCTCTTTGAAGTTTACAATTATTTTACACTTGTAATTTAGAGAGATTCAAAAGTAGATTTTTTTTTTTTCCCCACATTAGGCCACTTAAAATCTTATTTCTTATTTGCCAAATCACAAATAGAAGGGTTAAAAGAAAAACAACTACATCAATACTCAGGATGCTAAACGATGGACCAAACGTGGCACACAAATTGAAAGGCTGAATGAGCTGCCTGTCATTTCAGGTTCACAGTCAAGCTCTTGCTTGGAGGAAGTGCTTCTGATGAAACAGTCAAAGGAGGAATAATAGTTAACAGTCCATAGAATGATTAAAAAATAAAGTAGACTATTCAAAGACACAAAGTCCCAGGGCACGAGATGCACTTTTTAGTCAGACTAGTATATATACTATTGAAGTATGGGTACTCCTTAAAAAAAAAACAATTGAGAAGTGAAAAAATTCTAATCTGCATAACTACCCAGTTTTAAAGAGGAGGTTTCTTCAAAAATAAAATGTTAGTTAGCATTTACCTCTTGGAAGACTGAGCCAAGGTCACTGAATGCTAAGCACTCAGGATTACTCCAGCGCCTGGGACAGGCAGCGCTCATTAAGGCTCCAGTTAAATATGGCAAGCAGCCACGGGATGCTAGGCTGTCATTTACTGTGTGCAAAGCAAGAAAATCCTCTGAAATGCCCAGCACAATACAGTAATGCTCGATCCTATTGAGTTATTGTGGAATAAATCAGTGGCTCACGCCCAATTGTTAAAGGATCAAACAGGACCATGAACAGACCGGCACACGGAGCCACACACAAACTGTCAGTGCTGTCCACGGGGACACACATTAACTTTGACAAACTGTCCTAGGGCTGATATCTGTTTCTTTAATGAGATCTATTAGGCAGAGACTAAAACACTTGAGATATGCTAAAAAGTACAGTATACAGATGTCAAACACAAACACCTATTAGTAACTTCCATTTCTCCGTTCCCGAGGTAGAAACACTTCAGACATCGACAAATTGAAGCTTTGATCTGACAAGGAAATCTCATTTTTTTTCAGAAATGTATTCTAAATGCACAATATGATGTCACTAAATACATGTAAACAAAACTACTTCTTAATGAACAACTCCAAAATTCATTATTTTATGTGCATCTTTTTCTGAAAGGAATAAATGGAGAATAATTTCCTGCTAGCAGCCAAAGACTAATTGTCAGCCTAATATTGACAGAAACAATTTGGTAAAACATGGTGGGAATGACAAAAACATAAAACGAGCAAGTTAGAAAAGCTTTTATTTCTCCAGTATAAATAATCTAACCCTAAATATTATGATATCTTTCCCCAAACTATGTTATAACCTTGGAATCAGGATTTGTATCTTTAAAGAGACTACGACTGGCTTTTGCCCTGCACTTTTCTTCCTGGTTTAGATTATATAATGATGTAGAGCATAAGAAATGAAGCCTATTACAAATTAATGTATACTGTGCTCAAAACTGGGATGCTCCAGTGCTGAAATTAGATAATTGTATTTCTTTTCACCAGCACAGATACTTACTCAGAAGCAGACCACAAACTCGCTTGCCTTACCCCTATGCTGAGCAAAGTAATCTCAACACAAAGCACGGCTGCAACTCTTCTTTGAAAGACAGGAAATAAGTACAAACTCTACAAAATGTGTTTTACATAGTTAAAATGGAAGTAGAAACTTTCAGGAGTAAAAAGTAGAAAAAGTTTGAAAGGAGAAACTCGTAGGTGAATAATCTTTCCTATTCACCAATTAAAAATAGCCCAAAGCCTGAGGAATACACTACATCAAGTAAGAAATTACAAATCCCAACAACAAATAATTGCCTATTACCTTTAATAAGCTATTTTAGCTCCTCTTTGAAGTAAGGAATTTCCTTTGAAACACTTAAAAATAATCCAGTCTCTTTTTTAACCTTCCACTTGGAAAATATTCAGGTACCAAGAGAAGAGCACGGATTAAGATTTCACTCCCTTTTTTTTAGCACAAACACAATTTTGACAGGAAAACTGCTCCTCCTGAACGTGACAAAGCACTCACATAACTGCAGTGCCAGGTAACTGTTGGAAACTAAGCACGAGTGCTGGCTTGGAAGCATGTGTGCTCATACATACCAAAAAAAAACCCCAACCCCAAAGCAACAAACCCAAACAACTGGAGGATGTTTGCATGTGGAGGCTTTCAGACACAAGCTGGTAATGCTGCCCCAACATTGATATATGACCTTTGTAAGCCACAATGAAGAAGGCTGGTTTTTTCAGACTAATTAGAACTGTTTCAAATTTTCCTGCTAAATATATGATAGGAAGTCCTTTCAACTTTTTTTTTTTTTCTTTTATTCTAGAGTTTCTTTCCACGTCAACCTTGTTCCAATCAAAATATGTTTTGAATTACATTATTTTGAGTCAATATGTGGATCGCGTTTCACTTCTAAGATTTAAAGTCCAAAAAGGAAAAGTTTAGGCTGTTCAAACAAAGCAAGAGCAGCCACTTTGCAGAGAGCTAGTCACATTTACCAAGACTGACAAATTGTTTGTGTGCACCATTAGGTCTAGTTTCTGCAATAGTTGCCAGATTTCCTGTCCTCCTAATAACACATTAACTCTTGAAGTGCTGGCTTTATCTTTTGAGGTTTCTCAGTGTTTAAAAGTAAATTACCAAACCCACTTCCACCAGCAATGTCATTTCATCACATGGGTGGATAGCTGAGGTAAGACAAAATATTAGAAAGATATTGAACTCGGGGCTGCCTTGAAGATATCAGAAGTAAGAGGACAGAGGACGTTATAATAAGTAGAAAACTCCAAGTTCTACCTGAGGTAATATGAATTTCAAACAGGCATCAGAACTCCTTACATGATTAGTGCTTTCTAACTTGCTAAATAACTGTCCTGAGAAAATGCAGAGTTTTATTTACAGTATTTTGTAATTTGTTTTAAACACAAAACACTTCAGAAAGTAATTACTTAACAGCTTATCCCATTTTGCC